ATCACATGTGAAACAATACGAATATTGCAACAGTTGAAACATAATGGTTTCAAATTTCAAATCTAAAAATCCTTAAAAGCGCACATGAGACAACAAAGTGGTTAATGAATATGACCGTGTGGGTATGCATCCACTTCAAATTCAAATTATAGCCTCCAACGTGCGAGAAAAGTGTCTAGATCACCCAATGCGATTAATCGCCAGATGCTTTTTTGCGATTAAACCGTCATTGAATTTTTTAAAAATGGATTTGACGTTCAAAATTGTTAAGTAAAGTCTCAAGGAAAATAAGACAAAGTGCGTAAACCCTGCTCATTAAAAATAATGCACCAATCAGAGCTCGTTAAATTAAACCAGCTGCGAGCAGTGGTTTCTCAAAAAAAAAAATTACAGTGTTACTCAATCAATCAATAATAATTTATATGTACTTCTACACTATTTATTTTTTGTACTCCGTGGACTAAATCAACGTGTTAAAATACGATGAAGGACTAAAAGTGACTGTTGGTGTAGCGATACTTTGCCCTGGGATAATTCTGGGAACCATTGGAAAATATTTCGACGGTTAACCCGGGTCAAATTTTGTCAATAAGCCCGGTGTGCAAGGTCAAATTTTGGCAATTGACCCGGGATGCAAGGTCAAATTGGTGATTCCTGAAATAAAAGACTAACGCGTAGTCATTTGAGCTACAGATGCTTTAAGCATTTTATAGTTAGAAAGTCGACGTCAATTTGGTAATTGCTGGGAAATGTTTTGTTACTGGCGTTGGAATTCGAACCCATGATACCTGAAACAGAAGACTATCTCGTAGCTACCTGAGCTACTACGGGATTTAACAATTTTATAGTTACAGATTCAAGTCAATAAGCAAGAGGGTGTACTTTGGACTTTAGACAGAACCAAAGTCAAAGATTTTTTCTGGCCTCACTGTCAACTGTAGTTAATCTTTTCAACTGCCCTAATACAATTCATATTGTTTAAAAGAACTCTATGGATCATGAAATAATAAAAAAGAAGCAAGCAAAAGAAGCCAACTAATCCCTCCAGTTAAATTTAGTAGAAATTACGTTAGCAGCTTGAATAAGTTAGACCACAAGAATGTTTACTTATGGTTATGATTATAAAAGCGGCTCGCAAATATTACATCTCCGATTCAATTAATTAATGTTAATTGAAAAGAAATTAACTTGTAGTGAAGTATTCCGCTATTGGGTTCGCACGGAATAGAATTAATTCCTAACAAGAATCGATGAATTTCATTCAACCATTATATTGCACTCCTTTTTACTTCCTTACTCTACAATAAAAGGTTTTTGTTGCTGTCCATCCGAGCGGTTTCTTTACAAGATAAATTTCCATCTCTTAAGAACAACATAAAATAATTATTAGGCATGCTCTCTGTCCTACTTCGAAGTGTCTCTGGTTTGACTCAATTATCTTCCGTAAATTCCTACCGACTCATCCGGCATCACCTAGAGCTACTGTCAGGCTCAATTGCCGTTCTATAATTACAAACCCTTAATTAGGAGTGGCTGAAAGAATTGGTCTAGTTAAATTTTAAGTAACTTTGTTAATATACTCTCCAGAGGATTTTGCTGTCCCGACTAAGGAGTGCCACCGCAACGATATAATACACCCCGGATCTCTGTGATCTTGAGCTGCTCATCGGCCATTTATTAACCTATTATTTGCAGGGTCAGCCGATAAGCAAACCGCCTTGTGGTTTAGGGTTATTCATGGAAATAGCCGACCGGCCCTCCATTGGCGTTCTGACGCTAGAGGGAAACACCGCCGTCCCTATATACGAGGTTTATTTCTTTTATTGTTTATAACATTATTTTGGTTTGTTTTGTTTTTATTTAGACCAAATAGAACTATAATTTCTTTGCTCTCCGAATTATTCCTGCTGAAGGTACCCGAGGCTGTCGGTACCCCCACAATTTACGAATAAGCACAGAAATTGGTTTATTTAATTTGAATATGTATTTTTGCAGTGGTATTTTTGCTTTTGCAATTGTTTGTGGTTGCGTATTATTTATGTAGATTTGTTTATTTACTCGTAAAACGTGAAATTGTGTAGGCACATCCGGTCCTTTGCGATAAGATTTTTTGTTTAAGGACGAGATTTAATTAACGAACGTGTTTCTTATCGCTGTTTGAAGAGATAAATGGGAGATACTGATGTTCAACGATATGCGCATTAGTTCGCCGTACGTGGGGACGCGTTCTGTCGAAGCTGGCATTATCAACGCTAATTATGATTGCCTTTTTATATTTAAAAATCTGAAGAAGGACATTTAAGTATGGCAGTGCTGTTTCGTTAAATACTGAAAAGTGTATGTGGAGTTAACTGCGCCTTGTTTATCGCAAACCGTTGAAAGACCAAGGATTATTAAAGAAATAAAAACTGAAGGTAATTATAGGATTTCCTTATATCTTTTTTTGAACAGCTGTGTGCGGGGTAATTTGTCCTAACAATCTTTGCAATTTCACTTCCTTTCAGGAATTTTGTATAACGTTCTTTTCATTGTAAGTCGATGAATTGTGTTTATTCGAACCCATTGTGCGACCCGGATAATTTGTAGTAGCTGGACGGGTGTTTTGAGAGCGGGCTGACCGCATATCCTTGCACAGTAATATATACCAATTTTATCAGTTAGTCAGATATATCGCACTATAAAGGCAAGAGTAGGTATTGCAACCCTAAATGATTAATGAGTTAATTGCTCTAAAATAGTTATCTAAAATGCTCATGTGATTTTCTTCTATATAATGTAAGTTGTAAATCATGTATGTATTGTATTTGATTTATTTTGCAAGCAGGAAACCGATACTCCAATTTATGGTGGATTCAAATCATTGACCAACACACAACTAAACAATTGTATCAACTCAATCTACACAACTCCCTACTCTAGATAAACAAATAGGTACAAACATCCCTATTTAAAGCGCAAAATGACTTTTAATTATGCACACGTAAATGAATAATAATTTCTCGGTTGTAATTCTCAGCAACTTTGTCGTGTGTAGAAATTTATATGCTTCTTAGTTAATAAGACGTTAATTAAAGTTTTTAATTTATTATTTGGTTACATAAACCAGAACTTGACTAAATATTTAACCAAGTGCGAAATGCGCAGCGTTTACCCCAAAAAACTAACCTGCTCCAAAAGCTTCAAAGCTATAACGCATTTTCTTTATTTTTTACACATGTCCTTATAATCTGATTTGTGTTGTTAGCAGTGGAAAAATGTATTGCATAGCAGTTGAATACCTTTGTCAACTCCCGGAAGTAGTTAAGCTGGCTTAAAGCTCCGTTCCGAAAAATATGGATTACCTATCTACCGTCATCTATTAAACAAAATGCAAATACCTGATTAGTATAATGAAAGGTGCCATTTAAATGTTTCCCATTCCTAACCCGTATAAGAAACGTGTTTTATTACAACTCATTACGCGAAACGTTTTGTTTGTAATTAACTAACACAAAGAACCGACTAGAATTTAAATGAGTTTAATCTGACAGGAGCCGAATTATTTAGTGTATTAGGTTTCAAAATATCTTGCTGAAATGGCCCAGATTTGCCGCTAAAAATGGAAGCAACCTAAAAATTAATCAAATTAGTAGATAATTAACTGTAATTACATGTCAACGTCTAATTAATTACACAATTTTAGTCTACTTATCTAATAAATCTGGATAAAAGTCCTTTTTTAGGCTCAATTTCCACACCGAATTCGAATCAGTTTAATGAGACGACAATAAATAATTTCGAGAAAGGGAGCGCAATTTGTAATTGTAATTTAATGTGACAACCCTCGGAAAGGTGAAATATATTTCAAACGATTTCTTTTACAAAACACTTTCACAATAACATATCCTCATGTAATACATTAAAGCCAGGCTTCCTTTGGAGTTGTAGAAAAGCTTCCTACTTTATTTATTCGCCGGTTATTGTGAATCGATGCTATCAATTTCCATAATCAGCGCCTAAGGACAACCAGTATTCGCATAATAATCGTCCAGAAGGAATTTTTGGGTTAGTCGTCGTGTGGACAATCTCTCGTATGCAAAAAATGATCGAATTGCCCATAGTAGTGATTTATTGGAACACCTTTAAGCTATAATTAATTGGAAATTGTAACATTTTTTTAGAACGTTCCCGCCTCATTTATTACACTATTTATGGCTTGGTCAAATTCTTTCAAATTTAATTCTTTCGGTCAATCGGCAATTAAGTACAGTGCAGTGTGAAAGTAATAGTTCACTCACCTTCGCCAAGATTCGCTTCCTTAATTATTATCCTTCTTTATGATATATATTTTTGATTTACACGTTTTGTGCGAGTGTAACAATTCTTTGAATTATTACCGTTGTGAGCATTCGGGAAATTAATTCAATTACGTGAATATAAGAAGCGGCAATGCAAGCTATACTTTTACTTTTATTTAATTGTTGATGCTTAACCTTCATTTCATTAAGACCATTCTCTTAACACGTTTTTATATCTAGACCAACAATTTCAGAATCCCTTTCAAATATGAAAAACGACTTAAACCACCCACGCGAATTTTTAATTATATAACCGATCGCGGCATAAATTTGGAACAAATTAACTAATATAGGCAGATCTGTAAACGTTGTTAAAAAGCTTCTCACATATATCACACTGTAAAGTATCACAAATCTTCCCTGATGCACGTATATATCAAATTAACAACTAAACTACCTATCGTTAATAAGCCAAAAAATTATGGCGTATAAATAATAATTTTATTACCCGGTAGACTATGAAACGTCTCAGTTTTATAATCTCACAATTCTTTTTATTCGTCAATAGACCGCGAGGCATAATGAAAGTTTTAAGGTTTCTAGAAATATTGTTAGAAAGTCTACGAAATTCTGCAAAAAAACCATTTTTTTTCTTTAAGTCTCTCGCGTCAAATTAAGGTTAAAGGTTACTACAGGTGGGTGGAGGAAATGAGTTTTACTAACCTTGCAGCCCTCGCAGGTGAAGGCACCAAAGTGGAAGCCGGCCGCTGGCTCTCCGCATACCTTGCATTGCTGGTTCATCTGAAAGAAATTTATAATTTATATTTATTTCCTATACCACGTTACTGTTGTTTTATATTTTTCCTGTGTTTCTACCAACGCATCTTTGATGTAGGTAAACAGATAGCATTGTACAATCTCGAAGTACGTGGTTGAGATGATCTTCATTTTTGTTTCTGTGGTTTATGAAAGATTGCCTTCGAGGGGCGCCCGAGGTTCGTGAGAATTGGGTATTTTTCGACGTTTTGTTACTGAATCAAAAAGGCACGACATGGTGAATCGAAATTTTAATGATTCAAAGGAAGACATCCAGCTTCTCTAACACTAAGTAACCAAATTGCTCTACTTTCACAGTCATAAAATCACAATTTGAAAGTTGCTGTTCCTGTACTTGGGTAGAATGACGTAAGTGACAAAAGTTCATCCAGTTTGAGTCCGATGTCGAAACAGCAAATTTCTCCACATACAACAATTGTGTGCTATTTTTTGACATATCATAGGCGCACGTTTTGTGCCCTTATGACAAATGACTTGTGCTTTAATAATGCTTTTTAAAATAGAACTTTACACCTGTTCTGGATTTTGTGAGATTTACGACATTTTCCTGCACTAATTTTTACCACCGGCACGTTAGTACGAGAGATATTGCATTGGGGTAAAAAATATCACTACCCACTTTTTTTACGGAAATACACGTTTTGAAGCACATATCCGAATCAAACAACATGTCGACCGGTCTGTCGGTAAAATACTCTCATTCCCGGTTAAACCAATTTAAACCAAATTTGGTACACCCATATTCTTAAACATAAAAGGAGGAACTGAAAAGGCTTTGGGGAGAGGAAAAAGCCTCCATGTCAGAGCACCCTACCACTCTTTTACATTTTTTTAAGACTATTTATTGATTTTTAGAGATTTTCTAGGGGCTCTTGAAATTCAATTTTTTTCAGGGATCAAATCTTTGTTCAATATAGGTTTGAGAAATTCATCAAATCAAATGTTTTTTATCCTTGGAAATTATTCCTTTTAAATCTATAATGGGTCGCTTTAGAATTTCAGAAGTTTTATTTTCAAATTAAAATTTTGTTCAATATAAGAAAATGTACACATGTACCGCTTCATAGAGAACGTGAATAAGAGTATGTCTGGGATAGGAGCGATAATAAATTCTTATTTCGAATAATTACGACTATTTTGCGGTGAAATTCAAGAGTTAGCTAACACTTCGTTTGTGTAAGTTTTTTGTTTATTAAAATGTTGGTGCGTTTTTAAAAAAAACAACTTTCTTTACGTCGCGTCGTTGAAAAACATTTACACGAAGTCGAATGAGTGGCAAAGTACGAGTTTAACATTACGCCAAAAGGAAAAAGATAAAACTGTTTAGCGGCCTGATACGTATAGCAACGTGAGAGGTAAAATTTACGCGAAAGAACATTTTCGAATCGTAAAACCGCTTTTCAAATAAAAAACCAGATTAAATAAATTGGCATTGTAATACACGAAGAAGTCCCATTGTGTGGATCGATAACAGTAACGACTGGTTAAAAGTAAGTTCTTCAAAATTGAGTGATGTCATTGGATAGCGCATTGGGCGATAAATAAAATTTTCTATACAGCGGCATATGGCAGGAAATTGAAGGACACTTAATCGGGCCATTTACCCGCAACTAGTGAGTAAATTGGGCAAAATTAATATCGACACAGCGGAACATTGGTAATTTATTCCTATCCATAATCACATCCTCGAGTATTACTTTAGTGAAATTGGAACATGTTTGCTTAGTTTCACAATACGCATGGACTTTCGCTAAAATTTTGCATTCACCACAGAATCAACTGTACCATCGAAGTGACTTGTTTCCATATCCTGTTGGAAATAAAAAAAAAACATTTCCCAAACTCAGGTGCAATATGCGCAGTTTGGAAGCAAGAAAGTGTTCTTCGTCCTCGAAGAAATAAGGACCAATGATTCCAAGTGGAGTACCAAACCGTTACACGCTTTGAGTGTAGTATTAATGACTGCATTCTCAGAACGTATCAGCACAGTTCTCACACGCTCCGTGTTTTCTGTTATTCCTGCGGTCTTGGTTTTACAATAAAAAAATTTAACTGCACTGTAATAACAGACTCGCCAATTTGCACAAATGCGTCATACGCAAACGTGCGATCCTCAATCGTTCACCACTCTGTCGCTTCTAAGCGAGCATCGCATGGCGAGATTAATGCTTGGTAATTCAGCTCGATAGTCCTCCTAGGAGCAAAGTACAAACCGACCCAAAAACGTCACAGTCCCATCGGTCACCCTCTACTTTTAATATTCTCAAAGGAATCGACCTATGAGAATTACTTCTACGAAACAAATGTGTATTACGTTTGTTGATAAGAAGCGGATCCAAAGGATTTGTGTTATCTTGCTTCATTGATTGGGAATTTTGTATTTAATTTCAGTAATACCATTTCTTTGGTTGGATTAAAATTTTGTTTGGCATGTTTGTATGAAGCTTGTGTAAGTATCGTCAGGGAATTAATAATTATAAATTGAAATATTTTTGTAGATCCTTAAGGGAATCTTTAACAGTAGACTACTAGCCTAAATAGCTTTCAAAAAATATCTAAAAAATTGCCTGGGAAAACTTTAACAACCCCTGAAATCTAACCTTTGTAGAATTTTTTTATTCCATATTCATCAAGTATACAGGGTGTTAACAATTAAGAACAAAAAAAACAGGGGGTAAAGAGAACTAATACAAACATCTTTCCCAAGTAAAATAACAGTCCAAAGTATTTCATTTGGGAGCTACATTCCGAAAAGTACCTTCGATTTTTAAAACACCCTTTACGAATGTGTCCAAATGTTCACAAAACTCCCACCACAGACGCCTGATTGATGAAAAAACATGGCGATCTCGAGATTTGGTGGTAGGGTACCTTTGAGTATAATATTGCGGAAAGAAAAAAACACACGTAAATCCCCTATCAATGTCCCCCAGTCAAAGCTAATTATTGCAATTATTTTTTGGAAAATTCGTATAATAAACTGTTACGATTATGATTAAACGATTAAACCTTATGACATTTTGACGATATTTGTGGTCCAACCAAGAATGATTGCTGTTGGAATTTTTGTTTCAAAAA